TTCTTTCTAGTAACGTACATATATATGTTAATATATGCAGTCTTAAGCTTTTGGTGTTGCAGTAAATTAGATTTTAAAATGTAAGTTTATTATCAAGCGTAAATAAATTAATTTTTTCTTTTTGAAACTGATTTTTTCTTTATTGACAAACTTATAGCATTTGCGCCTTTTGTATAATATTGCTATTGCCTTTAGAAATACCGTATTTGACGGCATATAAGACGCCCTGGCATGTAAGACGCACCCTTATTTAGACGGCCGCACACAAGGAAAAAAGGTTTCAATAGCGTGGTTTCTTTTAGTTCTCAAGTTTCATAAAAGCCAAATAAACAATTATTGAATGCAATTACCTTCACGTTAAAGACTGTATCCTTCACGTATAAGACGCAGGTAACTTTTTTGAGACCAAATTTAAGAAAAAAGTGTGTCTTATATGCCGTCAAATACGGTATGTATTTTCATCTTCCACATTTCTAAGCAATGTTGATGGGAAACTCAAGTTCACCTGCAGCATATTGAGTATTGTCTTGATTAAGAAAACAATGTCATTTGCATATTTTGCTATTTATTTGCAAGGGCACTGATAAAGATTTACAAAACAGCGACTCTATACTATAGTTCCCATTACCGCCAATTAATTTTGTAGAAGAATAGCTAATTTCATTTAACTGATTTTCTTCTCTGAAATTCCGCGTTATTGAAAATTTAAAATCGACTAACTGAGTTAACTGAATTTGGAGAAAAGAGGCTAATTCTAGTTTGAACATCAAAGAAAAGGTTATTTGTATAATTTTGAATTAGTTTGGTGTAAATGATGGGGCTAACTGATACATTTTACGAGCATTAGAAAATGGTGCATAGTCGATGATTTTCGCTGATATCGTTTTAATAAAACCTTTCAGTCTTCTATGAATTTGTCTCTTCAATAATTTTTTATAGTTTGGGAAAAGATTTATAGGCCTTCAACTATTTGGTTGACGCTCATCTTTCGGCATTTTGGAATAAAAGCCAGTAGCGTTCAGGAATCGTTTTGTTGGCTTTATTATTTATTGATTAGAGGCAAATGCTTTATTTGGTCCAAATTTGGAAATAATAATGATTTTTTTTTATTTAATAGGACACCTAAGCCTTATAGAATCCCTCTTATTGAAGTTATCAATGAGTGAATCGAGTTCATTTTCATTCTCTGTGTCTTCTGTTACATTATTGTTGAAGACATCTTTAAAATATCTAGTTATGGTATTTCTGACATTGTTTCTAAGTTAGCATATCTGATGAAGGATCTAATGAATGTGTTATTTTTTTTTACGATTCCGATTTAATTAATTGTTTCCGCTAGCTTAATGTATTAAACAAATTAATGTTTCGTTAAAATGTATTAAACAAAGAAATAATATCAATGTTCCGTAAGCGGAATATATCATGAAACTCTATAAAAATCATTTGGAAGCGTAAGAGAAAGAAAAATACTTTCAAATTAGATCTATGAAGAATCTATGACATTTGTTTTTAGTAGAAAGGGACAAAGAAAGCACAATTAAATTATTAAGTTTTAATGGGAAATGCAATCTATTATGGTTAGAACAAAACCTTTTTAAAAATTTTCTCTTTAAAAAGAAAGCAACGAGTCGAGCTCTTAAATATTTCAGTTGCTGACTAAAAGCGAATTATTGGGAACCCTTTGATCACGTAGAAAACAAAATAATAAAAAGGTGGCATGATATGGCATAGAAAAGGAAGGCAAAGAAGATGAGAAATACTAATGTTAATATTAATATATAAATAAAAAAAGGGAAGAAGAAAAGAATATTTTCTAAAATACTATAATAGTAAATTACATAATATATTTAAGCCAACCAGCGGCCGAGCGGTAAAGTCGCTGAACACTGGTAGTTCGGTCCGAGGTTCGAATCCCGCGAACGGGCTGGCTGCATGGGCGTTTTCGTGGTTTTCCCCATGTGTAACGTGTATACGAGCCAGTTTCCCTTCAAAAGTCCTCCACGAAAGGCATACCTCCTCTTAGGCAGATAGCCCTCGTGTGTGCTTTGCCATAATTAAATACACCAACACCATAATATATTTACTAAAATATTGTCCTATATGCTATAACATAAGAATATTTTCCGACGCATCATAATCGAATTTATAATACATTTTTAAAACGTCAGACATAGAAAGAGAATTAAGGAATTTAAATCTATACTAGATTAGAAAATGAAGGGCAGAGAAAAACATAAGAAAGTACAAACGTACATAGAAGGGTATAAAAATACACGGATAAATAAGCATAAAAATATTGATTGCATTTACACAGCTAATAAAAGCAACATTACGAGACTATGTGTTGCAAAAATTTCCCAATACGTTAATTTCGGGATATGAATGAAAATACAGTGATTCCTCTGCAAGACTCATAGTTCAGACAATTCCAATTTTCTGTAGAGGTGATAGTTTTAGATAAGACAAATATCTTCACGATAGCAATTATCAATTTACGTTGCTACGAATTTTGTACATAAATAAATGATTTTAGTGCAATCATTTGCGAAATTGTTGTACTTTGCTGCCTAATGTAACATGAAAAATCTAAAGAAAAAGCTATTCTGGAAAAATAAGAATACAGGGGCAAGAGGATTTAATATTGAGTAAATGGATATCTCGGTAATTTGGCGAGAAATCGCCAAACTTTGCCTGACTTGGCCACCATTTGGCGACATTTTGGTCCGGTCCCTGCATCACCGAAATAAGTACTGTAATTGAATAAATGTAATTGATCACTATATTAGCTGCAACCTTAATTCGACCCTAATATTGCTTTCCAGTAATTTAGAAAAGCAGAAAGTACTAAAAGTATCTCAGCTGCCGCTTGATAACTATTTAAGACCAGAGAGAGCATAGGCTCTCAGTTATTGTTGTTGCGACTTGTTAGTTCAGTGTGAACTGAGATATCTTCGGGTTAGTTTTCTCTTAAATGCGCGTTACATTGCGTTGTGATTAACGTTCTTAGCAGTTTGAAGAGTAATTACTGATTGCACTCTGATATACTATAAGCACCTGTACGAGTATTTCAGTGGAAAATTCTAGAATTTTGAAAAGTTTCATTTGCTAAAAATAAGTTTTATTAACCTCAAAAAGTAAAATGTAGTAAATGTCTCAAATAGTAAAATAGTAAATGTATCATCAGGCTTGTGGGCATTCAATCTATTACGAACCCGTACCCATGCAAAAACTTTGGTGTCAGAATGCCAGTAACAAGAGCAATTAAGACCGCAGCTCCCTTTGCCGCATTCAAAAGAAAAGAGGAAAGCTGGCCAAGAGTCGATTAAAGTAGAGGTGAAAGCTCTCCAAGTATCCTTTAAAGAAAAGATGAACTCTGTTCCAGAATCCGTTAAAAAGATACGAAAGCTGATCAAGAGGAAACGAAAGAAATATTAACTGCATAACAGAAAACAAAATTGAGGCTATGAAAGGCAGAAAAGACACAATTTAAAATACAGTTGGACAGACTGAAGAAAGAGCTTCTGTCAAAAAACAAATAGAAGAGAGAGTTTCTACAGTGGAACAACAAATACATTAGAGTTTCTGCTGTTACCAAAGAAGCTGACACGTTATTCATAGACACAGCAGGAAGCAATTCCGATGGTTTCAAACTTTTACCCATGCCTTCTCGTCCTTCTCTGAAGCTAGCAACATATGATGGAAAAACCTTCTGGCAAGTGTATAAGACACAATTTTCTATAGTGGTGGATGCGAATGGATGGGATTCCCAAGCTAAGGTACGCCTCTCGCGGCTTCTCTAAGAGCACACGCAGCGGATATCCTTCAGTCTCTTCTCGAAGACCAGAGGCTAGATTTCGAATCTTTATCCAGTGCGTTGGAGCTGCACTTTGGAGAGAAGTGCTTGAAGGATTACAGCAGGCTTAAATTAAAATACCATCAATAGAAAGCCCACGAAAACATTCCAGAAACTTGCCACGAATGTTGAAAGGTTGTCTCATCTCGCCTTTTGGGAGTGCCTGAGAAAAACAAGTGAAATCGACCAATGCAGTGCTTCGTCAGTGGCATCCAGGATCCTGAAATGCAGAAAACTCTGTAAATGGCGGGCATCAAGGATTTGAAAAGCACTAGTGTACTCCATGACGCTCGAGGCTGCCCAGCAAGCAACTCGTAAAGACCGCCATCCAATCAGAGCTGCTAAAGTCCAAGAATCAGCGGATCAAATCACTGCTCGTCTAGACGATTTAATCATACAAGTGAATGCCTTGATACGTAATAGAAGTGAAAAGAAACAAAATCCAAAGTGCTAGAACTGTGATGCTGAAGGTCACGTGTGAAGGAACTGCAAAACATCTCAGGGCCATAACAATTAAATTGTTATTAATTTATTTGATGAAGTCTAACGTTAGGAATGGAGACAAATAAATAAGCAGAGATTCATCTAAATTAACATATATTGAAACACAAAATGGCACAAGTACAGTAAATTCTACATGCTAAAGTAAAACAGTGACAACAACTAAAAAAAAACGTTGCCAAGAGAAAAATATAAAAAGCATGTTGCCACACATGTTGTAAAATACAAATGGGAAATATAATCACAAATAAAAGTTATTTGCAACACTCCCCCTTGATTAAATTTCCCTCAGTCCTAACAGAACTTTTGATTGAACAAGGCTTTCTTTTGCACACTCTTTGTGAACATGTCTGCTGCATTTGAACTAGAAGGCATATACGTAAAGTTTAACAACTTCTCTTCAACCTTTTCTCTCAAGAAAAAATGCCTCAGTTCAATATGTTTGTTACGCTCTGAAGTGACATGGTTTTTGGCTAAAGAAATGGCACCCTGATTATCAACAAATATGCTTTGTGGAAAGTTTAAAAAATGTTCTCCCACAATTTCTTTAAAAAAATTTTGGAACCACAGTACTTCCTTGGCTGCGTGGCACATTGAGAGGTACTCAGCTTCAACTGTTGACAATGCAGTCGTCTGTGTTTCTTACTGCTCCATGAGACAGCTCCACCTGCTAGTAAGCACCACATAGCCACTAAATGATCGTCTGTCAATCTTATCACCAGCCCAATCAGAATCACAAAACACTTCCAAATCCTTTCCTGTCTTTTGGAAAGTCAGCTTTAATTCCTTGGTCTGTTTTAGGTAACGAAGGATATGTTGTACACCAGCCCAATGTTCCTTGCTTGGGCAATTATTGAATTGGCTCATGTAAGTAGTAGCAAAAGCTAAATCTGGCCTTGTTCCTCCTGCTAGGTACAAGAGCCCTCCAACATCCTGCCTATATTTTAATGCTCCTTCAGCATTTCAACATGTTATCCTTAGTGGCTGTTGTATATTTCATACCTGGATCTAATGGTGTTGATGCTCCTTTAGCATCTTGCATATTGGTTGTTTCCAAGAGTTCACTAGCATAGACACTTTGGTCAAGAGTCACACAGCTATCTTCCCTTCTGCTTATCCTAATTGAAAGAAGGTGATGTATTTCTCCCAAGTCCTTGATTTTAAATGTAGCTGCAATATTATGCTTAAATTCCTGAATGATGAACTCTTTGCTGGACATTACAAGAACATCATCCACATACACACCTACAAATTAACTCCTTTTCTTTATTGAAGTAAACACAAGGATCTGCTCTGGATCTTGTTAGGCTCGTTGATTTCAGAAATGTATCGAGGCACATATTCGATTCTCTCCCAGACTGATGAAGTCCATAAAGGCTTCTCTTTAGCAAGCAAACTTCTCTGTGTGTTTTCTCATGCAGACTCACGGGTGGTTGATCCATGAAAATTGTCTCACTCAGTCTTCCATTTAAATAGGCTGCAGTAATATCAAGTTGATGAACCTGCCAGTCTTGCTCAACTGAGAATGCTAATAAAGTTCTAATTGATTTAGTTTTTATTACAGGAGAAAATGTCTCTTTGTAGTCAATTCCTTCGACTTGGGTGTAGCCACGAGCTACGAAACGAGCTTTATATCTTTCCACTTGTAAAGTTTTCTCTTGAAGACCCACTTACATTTCACAACTTTCCTTCCCTCTGGCCTAGGCACTATGTCCCAAGTTTCATTTCGTTTCAAATTCTTCTTCCATGGCTAACTTCCATTTTTCTGCATCTGGACTAGTTAATGCCTTTTCTAAAGTTTCAGGATCATTCTGAAAAGCTTTCTTGGGTGTTGAGCCTTCATATTTCTGTTTCTCGGATTGTTAGCTGCATTGCATTCCACTTGTAATTCCATTTATTTCTGGAGGATTTTCTTCATAAATCTCTGAATTTTCCATGATATAATCCTTTGTCCACTTAGGCGCTGAAATTTGTCTTCTGGGTCGAGTCTCCTTTTCTGGTATATCCTCCACCTCCTTCTTTCTGTTGAGGGCCTTCGTCTATTACTTTTATTTCAACTTCATCATCTTGAGATGAATTTCTTCCAGAAACTTGTTTTGGGTGCAATGTTATAATGCTTCCAGTCATGGAAGGTTTCTCTTTAAATATGACATCTCGGGAACAGATTACTGTATGGTTTCTTTGATGTAAATGCGGTACCTTTCATCTCCATCATTCCCAAGGAGATAGCCTTTAGTTGCCCTTTTGTCCATTTTTCTCCTCTTCTGAACTGGGATATGAGTATAGAAAGTCGATCCAATGATGCGCATGTGTTTTATTCTAGGTTTCTTTCCCATCCATAATTCATAAGGGCTTGAATTAGGAACTGAAGACTTGCCTGTCCTATTCAATATATAAATTGAAGTACTGATGAACTCTGCCCATAGGAAAGCTGGAAAGTCCACTTCCTCATTCGAGTATTTGAGATTCTGGCCATTTCTAGGGACTGTTCTGTTCTCTCTTTCAGCACTGCCATTTGTTCTGGTGTATATGGAAGCTGTGAGCCTTTGGGAGATTCCATGCTTGTTCAAGATCTTGCGAACGGCTTGGTTGTCAAATTCTCCACCATTGTCACTGAGTATTTCTTTAACCGTATGCCCTAAGTTCTTAGCGTGAGCTATGAAATTTTCAAGCACATCTTTTACTTCTGATTTGTGCTTTAAGAAAAAACAGTATCGAAATTTGGTGTAGGCATCTTTGAAGATTGCAAAGTAACGGTATTTCCTAAATGACTGATCAAATGGCCCCACAAATATCTGTCGAGAACAATTCTCCAGCTTTTGTAACCGCTTTCCTGGTTCCAAAAACTTTAAACGGTGGGATGGGATTTTTCGTATACACAAGCTTCACATAATTTCATATCAGACTTAATCTTAATATTCAACTCTTTCTCTACAATGGCCTTTACATGCTTTTTATCTTGGTGACCCCATCCTTCATGATAAGTTGGAGAGTTGATTCATTATTCTCAGTCATGTTGATGTCAATGTGATTTCAGGAACTAAGGTCTTCATCACGGCTTTGAAGAGACCCCCACCAGCATTTCTTGTTCCATGCAGAACTATTTCACCATCTATTTTTAAATAGCAGTCCTTAAATGTTGATTCAAACAAACTGTTTTGATTTCTATCTTGAGATGCTAACACAAGAAAATAGATTTTTACTTATTTCTGGAACATACCAGACATTTTCAAGATTTTTGATTTGATTCATCCCATTACACATGGTCATTATCTTGATGGTGCCTTTTCCAATTGCTGGTAATGACTTTCCATTTGCCACAGTGATGCTATGAGGAAGCTTAATCTTTTGATGTCTATAAAGTAGTGCTAGTTATTGACGACATGCTTCGAGGCCCCATTATCAATAAACCAATCATCAGAATTCGTTTTCTGCAGAAAATATTGTATCATCTACAGCTAGAAGTGTCATATTTGCAAGCGCAACACTGTTTTTACTTCCCTTGTTTGGCCCTATATGTGGACTGGGTTTCGGCGGTTTTCCATCAGCTATCCATTTCTTGCAATGTTCTGACCCAGTGTCCTCTCTGGTGGCAATAATTACACTTGCCATTGTTTTTCTTGTTAATAGATGATTTCCGCTTAAATTCCGGATTTGCTATCAATGCTTCCTGATCTAAAGTTTCTAAAAAATTTGGATCTTACCTTAATTCTCTTTCATGGGTGCACAATTGTGTGGTTAATTCATCTAAAGTTCTCTTTTCATCACTACGAAGTAACCAACTCGATTTGAAAGTACGATAACTGGTAGGAAGAGTATCCAATATTTTACAAATCAACAGCATTTCTGGCAGTCTGTTTTCTTCCTTATTTTCAAGCCCACTGTTCAGTTCATTGCATAGATTTTTCAATTTTGACAAATGAGCTGCCATATCATCATTTGACCAACTGAATTTGAAGAACTGTAAACATATGTTATAAAGTTGGTTATCGGACGAATCTTCGAATACTTTGTGAAGTTCCAGCCAAATGACTCTTGCGTTGTCAAATCTCATTACCTTTTGTAAAGTGTCTTCAGTCATGGAGTTCGTAAGAACCATCATAGCGCCATTATTTGCTTTATTAAAAACCTTCATATCATCTCTAAATCTCTTTCGAATTTCTTCGGCGGCCGCATGATCTGGCTTCTTCAGTTTTCCTTCCACGACTTTTAAAGCGTTTTCGTGATAATTTAATACGAACTTAATTCTATATTTCTAAATAGGCCAATCACTTTTTCCTCATAACGGCTGAACCAATATTTTGCAGCTTCCATTTTTGCGAACTAATTTGCCGACTCACGTAAGGCTTAAGAACTGCCGTGTTAGGCTTACGAACTGCCGGCAATGTTTATCTCCACTTCGCTCATAAATTTCCCCGCACAGTTATATCATGCTGGTACCCATAACATGATGAAGTCTAACGTTAGGAATGGAGACAAATAAATAAGCAGAGATTCATCTAAATTAACATATATTGAAACACAAAATGGCACAAGTACAGTAAATTCTACATGCTAAAGTAAAACAGTGACAACAACTAAAAAAAAACGTTGCCAAGAGAAAAATATAAAAAGCGTGTTGCCACACATGTTGTAAAATACAAATGGGAAATATAATCACAAATAAAAGTTATTTGCAACATTATTCGATGATATTTTTCATTTATATCAGTGCTTTCATCGAATTATTATAATTAAAATGCCAAAAATTTTAATATATTGTTACAAATTTGGCATTTAAGTAATTAACATTAGTTGACTTGTAAATTAAATGGTTTTATTTCCCGCGCAGTGCAGCGCGTGACGAATACTAAAAAAGAAGCTAAGCCGAAAAATTGAAAATACAAGAGCGCGTGCATGTAACATTTAATAAATATCTCTTTTTGATTTCGAGAAAGTACTAGAAAATTCTCGCACGCGATTTTAAAATCTTATGAAAGGAGGAAAACCTCTCAGTTCGTTGTAGTTACTTAGTTTGTTGTTGTTTAGAAAACTGCTCTTGTTGACTGTAGCAAGAAGTTGCCGTGTGTGTCACGTACTGAGCCACGCTCGGATAGCGCTCCGCCGTTTTGATCTACAGCAGCGGCAATAATCGTTCTACGAACGCAAAAATAGTTGTCACGTAATAGCGTCAACCCTCAGGAGTACCTGGATATCAATTTTATGCGTATACGACTATTAGTTCGTTAACTGTGGATTTTACAAATTTTTAACATTAATCAGCGTTCTTTGACGACATTTTCGACGTGAATTCCATCTTCACAACTGCATTAGGAAGCCATCTGAAGTCGCAGCAGTCCAATACTGGTATCATTGGAAAGAGGATTACTTCAGCTTTCTATTATACTAGTTTTTATCTCAATCGGCAAACTGGATGATGAATGAATTATAATTAATTTACTAATATAAGTTAGCGAATTTTCGCTCAGCAAGCACTTTTCGACCGTTGGAGCGACCGTTGAAGGAAATCGTTCCGCCCCCCCCCGCGAGCTGCAGGAAGTTCGCGAAGGTCATTCACAACGGCGAATTTTTATCAAGTGGGTCATTTTATTCAACGTAGTAATTAAAGAACAACTCGACGCACCAATCTGGGACCAACGCCATTACTCATACTTCACCTTCGCGGACAGAAGTTTCCAAATTTAATGTCATTCCGATAATTAGATCCGGAGATACATTTTTTTTCCCTCAGTGCATTTATTGGACTTAGCAGAATTCAGTGCAGTGTAGTGTTTACATAGTGCAAGTGTGTGTGTCAAAGTTAGAAATAAATAGCAGAATTCAGTGTCAGTGCAGTGCAGTGTGTGTACAGTTTAGTGCATAGTGCAGTGCAGTAGTGCAAGGTGTGTCAAAGTTAGAAATAAATAGCAGAATTCAGTGCAGTGCAGTGTTTACATATAGTGCAAGTGTGTGTGTCAAAGTTAGAAATACATTTACCGTGGATAACAATTATTAGATTTCAACTAATTAATATCAGATGAAGAACAGAGAAGTCTGTCTGCCAAGATACCCAGAGAGGCACAAGGCACAATCGTGCAATAGTGCTAAAAGTGTGTGTTAAAGTGTGTCAAGTGTTATAAGTTCACCAAGTGTGACGCAAGTGTCATCTCGAAGTGCTAAGTGCTAGTCTTTTAGTGTTCAGCGCATAATTGCTCAGTGCTGTGTTCCACTCTGACATGA